TTAAATTATATATATATATATATATATATATAGATTTTTTTTCTTTCCAGCATCACCCTTTTCTCTCCCAATTCCAGAAGCCCAACCATGTGCATGTTTATAGAGGTTCATCTCAGACCTGAATTTCATTAACTGACCATAGCCATAGTTGAGTTTCTACAGTAATGAGTTCATTGGGCAGAAATTTTACAAAGGTATGGGGGGAAGGGAGGGGTAAACATTATCTACATTTGAAAGGACCAAATTTACAAATCAGTAGCTTTAATGAAATTTTTTTCTCTTTGACTAACTGGGGGTTTATTTGCATGCATTCTAAGTGGCAGTGCATGGGAAACTAAGATTTTTGTTATTTTGGTTTAACAGACTCATCCAGAAAGCACAACCCTGATTTTGCATGAGAAGGACTATCGACAGAACCTAAAACGTGAGTCCTGTTGATTTACACTATTGAATTCTATGCTATATTACTGCCCTTGTAATAAGACATGGCATTTATTAAGATATATAATGAAAGTCTTGATTTAAGTGTTAAGTCTAGACTATAAGAGGTGTAGAAAGTAAGAACTGATATGTCTTCCTATCAATTTAAGGAATTCTAGTAATCAGGAGATACTTAGCTTTGAAGAAGATAATATATTTGTGCTTTCATTGATACTTAATTTAAAGCATATAGCTTTATATAGTTTTAATAGTCCAATTTATTTATGGCTGATAAAATATATAAATATATTCCATTACAAACATTTCCCATGTTATTTTATGCATAAATTATTTTTTCATCTTTTCTATGATTATTATCCCTAAGTACTTAGAGTATGTATTTAGTGTCTCAGTTTTTCTCTGAGTTTTTTCAAATGGAATAAGGAGTTGTTTCAAGATAAAAAAGATCGGTGCATCTTTCTTCCTTGTTCTGCCACAGATCTTTCAGTTACTGACTAACTGTTGGCATCTCTTCTCCTGTTGGCTGCTGATAAGTTGTCTTTGATAACCTGCTGTTTTTTCTTGCACTTTGCCATGGCTACAACTCCAGGGTATCAGAACCGTCAAAAATAAAAGTAAAGAGTAGAGGCACAGAGCTTATGAAAGTTAGAGAAGACATAAGGCCTGGGATCAGCTGATGAATTTTTCTGCTGGCGGGTAGTTTTCATTTTATCCCATTTGCTGTCACAGTGTACAGTACCTGAAATAATAAGGGAATTTTTCCGCCAATAATGGATGATGGGGGCTGTTTGCTTTGTGAGAATCTGCCAAGACAACATGCCATGTGGCTTTATCTTTGGAAGTGAGGGTGAAACAAGCTTGCCTGGCCGCAGATAAGCGACTTAGAAGGAATCCTATTCAGATGTACCTGTCACTAATTTATCTGGAGGTTTTGTGATTCATACATACTGCTCTGTGTGCGATGAAGCATTAAATTGGTTTCCTCCGGGAGCAGGTCACATTCAGGGATCGTCTGACCTGTGCTATGAGATGGAGCATACTTGATTCATATAACCTCTGACTACTGAATTTTTATCTGTTAGAAGACTGGTAGTGTGAACATATGTTAGATGATCTCTTGCAAAGTTTCAGCATCAAAGAGATTGACAAAAATTTATCTATTAATATGCAAGTGTTTGTAACAAAAACTTAATCAACTTTTCTGCTGTTAGCACAGTCATTTATTCTCATAATTGAGTACAAATATGTTTCCTTATAATGGCCTAACTCTTGATAAATGTATTTCCGTGGCTCCTTCATTTGTTGAAACACAGGGGTGTGTACTTAAGTGCATTACTGCATAGTTTAAAAAAAATTCACAGTTGATTTGAAACAGGTCTCATGAAAGAAAAACGTTAGGAAACAAAGAGTTTTCCTATTTAAAATATAGTTTTCCACTGTGGCAATTCTACCTTATTACTCTATATATTTTGAAAGAAAATGGCATACCTTGGAAACTGAGACAGATAAAGACAAATGTTTCAAATTTGAAAGGAATATAAAAGAAAGAGATGCTTATTTATGTGTTAACATTGGGCTGAGAAACATTTATACAGTTGTTGTTTTGTTTTGTTTTGTTTTTCTGGATGTCAGATGCTTAACAAATGCAAAAACAAAACCAAAAAAACCCATTCTTCATTTTATTATTTCCATGATCAGGTACATAAAACTAAAACCTAATATCTTCCCTTGGGTTTTTAACTATTCTCCATTTTGTGTAAGATTAAGTCAATAAATGGCAAAGAAGTAGTTAAATGAAAGTAAACTGTGAAATCTTTCTAAAGTGTTTTTAGCATGCATGACAATAGTCTTAACAGTGCATAAATTGGCAATATAAACTGATTCGTTTTCCTTATATTTTTAATTTAAAATTATTTCTTCTGCATCACAATTAAAAAAAAAAACTTGATCATTTCATGAAGTAGCAAAATGAAAGCTCTTACAATCGGATGAAAATGATGACTTTATCCTGCTTTTATATGGTGAAAGTCTTTTGATTTTGTCCTAATTGTAAACATGTGGAACATTTAATAAGAAAACTGGAATTTTCTTATTATTGAGTTAAGCATAATTAGGCTATTACTATAGGAACCAATAGGTCTTTTATGCATAATTCCTAATATTCAAATAAAATATTCTTCAAACTTCACAATCCTCAAATTCAGCTGTGACCTTAAAATCTTTTAAGGCCTCCTAATAAACAGGAGTGTGAAATAAATATATTTAAAAATATTATTTTAAGATTTCAAAACAGTCTACTAAGCATTTTGTGGGGGGAGGGGGAGAAAGAAAAGTAGTTCATGAAACTAAGGGAAAAAAATACTATTATACTATAAACAAAGTATACATGGTTAGGCATATTCCTGCCCCCTTTCCCAATTCTGTATTTTTTTGTCTATAGACAATAAAACAATGTGTGAACTTTTAATTTTCCATATCCTTATTAAAATCTATTATATGCCTCTCTATGAGATATTTTCTTAATTTCTTTTAGAAAAATCTTTATAAAATACAGACTAAATTCACATTATTTTGAGAGTAATTAAAATGAACCATATTGTTAGAGACATTTAAAGGATCTAACAAGCATTTTGCTGCTTAGATTATAATGGTACTTTTAAACACTGCTCTGTATCTATCATCAGTTTTTCCTCTGTCCTGTTTTTGTAATTAATTTTTTAATGATATATCTCAGGTGTATAGCATTATAATTTAATGTCTTTATACACTACAGAGAAATCACCACCAGAAGTCTAATTACAATCCAACTCTACTCAGTTGAGCCTGTTTTGCTTTTGCCTACTCTCAACTTCCTTCCCCTTAGATAATTACTAATCTTATCTCTGTATCTATATGTTTATTTATTTATTTTTAGATTTGACTTCTAAGTAAAACCACAAGATATTTGTATTTTTTTGTCTTATTTCACTTAGCATTATTCCTTTAAAGTTCATCCATGTTGTGGCAAGTGGCAGGGTTTCATTCTTTTTATGGCTGAGTAATATTCTCTTGCATAAATATACCACAGCTTCTTTATCCATTCTTTTGTTTATGGACACTTATGTTGTTTCCACATTTTAGCTATTTTAAATAATGGTGCAGTGAGCATAGGGGTATGTATATCTTTTTGAATTAGTATTTTCTTGCTACTCAGAAGTGGAATAGCTGCATCATATTATAGTTTTATTCTTAATTTTTTGAGGAATCTCCATAACCATTTTCCATAATGACTTCACTATTTTACAGTCCCATCTAGAGTGTATGAAGATTCCTGTTTTCTACACACTCTCCAACATTTGTTATTTCTTATCTTCTCAATAACAGCCACACTTTTTGTCTATTCTTTATGTGGTGAGTAACTACCCATATTTTAGACTCTGCTTACATAGCTTTAATGCATCCCTTCAAAAAAGTATTTTCTAATAGTCTAATCTAATCTTAATCTCTTATAGACTTCTTTGATCTCATAACATTTACCATAATATTTAAGTATTTCCCCTATATATTATAAATATAAATTATATAGAAAATATGCTATATATATTGAGAGCAAAAGAATATTATATACCTGTTTGTATCCATTCTACAAAACTAAGCATAATTTCAAGTGGATAGGATAGTGCCTTGAATACAATAAACAGTCAATAAAATTTTTTGAGTGAATAAAATCATATCATAAAACCAAATAATCCCATAAATAAGAATATAAGAAATATAATGTATATATTATATACACAGTAAAAAAGTTATATAATTACTGGTTTACTTAACAAAATAATTGCAAATGCATATCCTATACAAATAGAGAAGTGGGCAAGCTTGACACAGTACCTTCTGCACAACACAACTGAAGCCTACAAAAGCCTATTAGATATTAAGTGCCATGGGATCCATAGCTAATATTGTCTTAGAATAATTACAGATTTTTCTGTGGCTATTTTTAAAATAGTTTAAAGAGAAGCAAAAATATCTATGATTTTTAGAAATGTCTATTTATTTTACAAGCACTTATTGAGAATTGTCTAGGTGTGAAACTGTGCACAGGTCTAGGAGATTTATTATTGTAAATGATTAACTCTCACCTCATGAAATCTTAGTCAGAAAATTCCATATATACTTTTAAAAATATAGTAGAACGTAAGTTGAAAATGTTAATAATATTCAGTAGAGTTAGAGTTCATTTTCAGCTGAGGGAAATAACAGCAGCATATTGCAGAGATTAATTTGACACTAATCTTAGAAGAAAGCTGAAGAAATTCTTGGAACAGGGAATAGCGTAAGTATAGGCATGAAGAAGGTGTTTTGTAGGAATTAGTTGCTCATTTCAACAGGTATATCAACTAAATGTAAGAGGATATGTTAAGTTGTTTGGTAGATGTTATGGATGGAAGTTATATCTGAAAATAGATTAGGACAAGATTGTGGAAGATTAAACATTAGTTTAAGAGATTAGGATTTTGTTGGCACATAGTTATGTCCCTGGATCATGTTCAATCTCTTATTATCTTAGAAACATATAAAAAATAAGAATGTGATTATTTTGAATGATAGTTTACACAGAAAAATTTGGCATTAAGTAATGTAAGATCTCCCTTTTGTTTGTGCTATACATTTGTATACATGCATATATTTAAATGTATGCCCCAACACACACAGGGGTGTTTGTCTGTCTGCATGTGTGCATGTATGCATAGATAAATGGGTACCACTTAATCTGGCTTTATTTGACAAAATGCATTAGAGGAGAAGTTAGTGTCATGTGTAGAAACTACTAATGACTTTAACAAATACTCAATAAATTCATAAAGCAAGGAAACATGAAATAAAATAGCAGTGATCAAGGGCTTCCCTGGTGGCTCAGTAGTAAAGAATCTGCCTGCAATGCCAGAGATGCAGGTTTAGTCCTTTGGTCAGGAAGATTCCCTGGAGAAGGAAATGGCAACC